AAAAATTTATTCTTTGTTACCTTTATATATAAAGGAGAAGATTATCGCCTTCTTGTAGTATGTATTGAGAATATCCAGTTCCTCCTTCGGACGTTCCATCAGACGATCGGCCACGATTTCGTTTAAAAGTTCTTTCAACTACAATTTTTAAGGATAAGAACAGTTATTAGAGATTTTGTACAGTGTCGATCGATATTTCACCTTCTTCTCATTCAGGATGTAATTGTACTGTTTCACTAATACTGTTATACCTATATCCAGATAAACAACCTGATCCAAAAGCACATCCACACTATAAAATACTGCAATCCGCGATATCTATAAGAGAGAAACCACTCTCATTATTATCTCACATTTGTATATATCACTGTATCAAACAATTCTATTTCCACGAAAGACACAGGTGAGAACCATTCATCGGTCACATTTTAAGAAAATGAAAGTAATACCTCGGTTATAATGGCAACAGTAACTACAACAAGTATAACAAGTCGTATAGAAAATGTAGTGCATCTCTCCTGACGTGGCCAGACACCGACTATCTGCGCGAAAAATTTGTTGTCTCTGAGATATTGATCTTCAACTGTCTGCCAATTCATAATTGTAGGAAATGCCAGACGGGACAAATCGAAACGTATATATGGCTCTTAACAAGAGTAATAAGAACGTATAATAAGAGAGAATTGTTTATTTAATGCCAAAAGTAGATTTGCTTTATACTGAACGATGTACAGTGTTTTTTCCTCCTCTTACATGTTATTATGTAGGAGAGGTTCCTGGAAAAATAGTGTTCTGCCCATTATCTCTATAGAATCCGACATTGTATAGAGATAATGGGCAGAATAATTTCGTTGCGATAAAGTGGATAAGTGGATCTATATGCCGAATATGAAAAATTAATTGTTGGATGTACTTCTTCATATTGTAACGTAGTGGGTACTTCGTGTAACTCGTGAAAGGTCCTGTGCTTTCATAAAAGTACCACCAATCGACTAATATCGTACCTTTTCTAAAGCGAAAACTTCTTCATAATTTGTGTATAGATTAAAATATCTTCGGATGTGATGTACAGATGAAAAAAGTTTATTTCCATTTGAATTTATATACCTGAGTATGCAACTCAAACGTGAAATTTGATAATTTGATACAAAGTGTGATTTAATATTTGCATATTATTATAAAAAAAAGGGAACGTAAGTAAAAGCAAAATTACTGTTGTACGTGAACTTATGTATATGTCATCATCTTCATATTCTCAATGATTTTTAATGGACATAATTTTTGCATTTTCATGTAAGTAAACATATTAAAGTTGAAATAGTTAAAACTGAATTATTTCCCACAATTCTTCAATGTCTCTGTGTTATTTATATTACTCAAGTAAAAAGTAAAATTCATACACTAACAATTTATTGCTACGTAATAAGAGTTTCATTTTGGAATTCACTATACTTGGAAAATGTGATAAAAGAAGTAAGGAGAAAATATTATATTTTATGGATAACACAAATTGTTAACAACAACTAATTTCGAATGCAACGTATACGAGCTTACTAAATAGTAATACAAATTCTAATATATTTTATCCAAGGAGTATACAATAATCGAAACTTAACAATTCTT